GAGGTTCCTAGATAGATTTGGTTCCATTTGGCAAATGTTGGTAACTTGAAGGTTTGAAAGGTTCATAGGTTTGACCGGGAGTTGACTTTTATGATACCGAGTTCGTATTATTTTTTCGATAATTGGAATAGGCCTGTTATGTCATTTGGGACTTGTATATAAATTTTGAGAATATTTGGAGTTTTTAGGAATGTTTGGCATAAGTTTTGAATTCGAAAATTTGAATTAGTTCATTAAGTTTGAATTGATGTGAGATTAATGATTTTGATGTTATTTTGTGTGATTTGAATCCACGAGTAGGACCGTGTTATAATTTGGGATTGGTTTGTATGATGGATAGGGTTCCGGGTGCCCCGACTGTATTTTGGAGTGGTTTCGGATCATTTTCCTTTATTTTGGACTGCTAATTTCTGGTGCAGAGGTTCTTCATCGCGATCGTGAATAGAGGCTCGTAATTGCGGAGTGGAAATTTAGGCCGGCAAGGTTTTATCCTTCGCGGTCGCGTGGGACGCGTCGCGTTCACGAAGCTCTGGGATGTGATGTTTCGCGTTTGCGCTCAGGTGTCACGTTCGTGAAGGCGTGTAATAAGGCCAGAGATTTGACCACGCAATCGCACATGGTAGGTTGCATTCACGTAAGCATGTCTTGTGTAGGGGTCGTATTCGCATGAAGGCTTCGCGTTCGTGGAGGGAAGTTTTGTGCTGATGAGTTTTTGGCTTCCGCAATCGCGATATAGGTCTCGCGATCACGATGCATATGCCTGGGTAGACCCTTAAGTACTCTATTTCGAGGGTTTGAGTTATTCTATCACACTTTGAGATAGGGAGCTTGGATTTAGGTGATATTTTAGGGGATTTTCACGATTTGGATTGGGGTCAGTATGGTTTACTCCAATTTGTTTATTAGTCATGATTCCAACATTAATTTTAGCGTTTGATTGGTAAATCAAAGTGAGAAACATTGCGGATTATGGAAAACCTTTTATAAAGTAAAAATTGATGATTTAAGGGTCGATTTAAGGGCTGGTTTGGATGAAACATATATATTTAGACTCGTATTGGTATGGGTATTCGGGATATGTAAGTTTTGTTGGTTTCGGGGTACGAGCCCGGGGTTGACTTTGTGTATTTATATCAAGATCATAGATTTATTATTTGGGGTTGTTTCCTATGGCTTTTATTGATAATATTAAGTTATTTTGGCTAGATTCGAGCAGTCCAGAGATTGATTCACGCGGAAAGAGATTTCTAAAGTATTGATTTGGCTTGCTTGAGGTAAGTATTTTACCTAAACTTGGTTGAGGCACTAGATATCTGAGTTGTTAGTGATGGCTACGTTCTATGGGTAGCGCACATGTAAGGAGTTGAGCCCATGTGTGTGTACTGGGATATTATTCATGCTCGGGGTAGTACTTAGGCTATGATATGCCTTGAATTGATTGCTAAGCTTCATGTTATTATGTTTCTTATGTTTATACCCCTTTGTAAGCTATTTGAACCATGTTTGAGGTTACATATGATTTAATATCTTGATTAAACATGATAAATACTATTTTAGTGATATAATTGCCTAATTGAGCTATGGTAGCACACTTTGCACATGAACAAACCTTAGCACGTCACTTATACCTGTCCATGAGTATGTAATTTGATATTCATTGTTCATGTACATGTAATGTTATATATCTACTTTCTATGTGATATAGACTGGATTGGTAGTACGTGAGTTGTCCGTGCGGTTGAGATATAATAGCATGTGAGTTGTCCCTGTTGTTGAGATATGATAGCACATGACCTCTCCGTGTAGATCCGAGATATGATAGCATGTAAGTTGTCCGTGTGGCTGAGCTATGATAGCACATGAATTATCCGTGCGATTGATATATATGGCACGTGAGTTGTCTGTGCAGTTGTTATATATAGCATGTAATTTGTCCGTTCGATTATTATTTATAGAACGTGAGTTGTTCGTGCAACTTGTGGATGAGGATTCACCCCCATAGGGTCAGCCTCTCATGTTTCTCTCTCGATGATGTACACACAGTATGGGAAAAATTGATCAATGTTTGGTTCGGTTATTGCATTTTCTCTACTCGCTAATTTTCTTGGATGTATACTTGTTTTATGAGCATATCTCCTCTATATGCTGGATTTTAACTAATATAGAGTTTAGCATATTATCTCTTGTGCACCAAGGTGACTTTATATGTGTTTTCCTGATTTGATGATATTATTATTGTGTACTTGTGGAAATTCATGAACTGAGCAGGTTATTAGCGAGTATCATTGATAATTCTTGCATCTATTACCTCGCTGAGGTTAGTTATAGTACTTGGTGATTACATGAGATCGGTTAAGTAGAGTAAGTATTAATCAAATTATCTTAATTCTAAGTTCCAAATAGTAATATAAGGCTCCAATTCATTTAGAACTTTCAAACATAGCCAACAAGTCAATATCTACCTAACAACTCATATTCATCAACGATACATAACGTTAACACCAAGTCAACTAAGTGTTCAACACATATATCTTACTTTACAAGTCTAGTAAAAATTGATATTCCCACTATAAAAGTCTGTTCTTGAGTTTAAAACTCTAAATCTCTCATTCCATACTCAACAATACGATATTCGATAATTGAATTGCTCACAAAATTATAAAGAATATTATTTAGCTTATTTTTATCAAATAAACACTATTTATCATCTCTACCCACTAGTCAATCTTATTCATAATACCCATTTTTAGGGTTCATCTCTCAACTCAACCAAACTATGAGTTTACTCCAAATCACCTTCTATATACTTATTTACATATAATAGATGAACATTGAGTAGTGGGATTACCTCTTGAAGATAAATTTTAAATATTTTTATTTTTGTATTCTTGGAGTATTTGAAAGAATCTAACAAATTTCATGGTTGAATCTTCTTACTATTAGTGTTAATTAACCTGAATTAACACAAAACTTGAATAAAAACTCACCTTGTATGATCAAGTGAAGCCTTGATCTAAATCCTCTTCAAAGCCCCAATGAACTCCTAAAATTTAACCCCAAATCATTTTTCCCCAACCTAGGGGCATATATAACCTTTCTAGGTACACTGCCACGCAGCAGGGCGCGCACTTGGGGCAGCCAACTTCTTCAGGTGTGCGGGCGCGTATGTTGGAGAATGCTAGTAAAGTTGTCATAACTTTTGTACAAAAGTTTAAATGGTGAACGATTTAAACCATTAGAAACTAGACTCAAAGAACTTTAATTTGATAGCTATCCACAACGTAACTTGTCATAGACATGGAAATATGATCATTTGAAAATAGGTCATGTGCGACTTCGGGCGTCTTTTTCTCTTCAACAATTCTAACTTGTTCCAATATACTTCTCCCCACTTATAAACATCATTATAACCTTTCAAATCATGTTCAATACATGTCCACGTACCCAAATAGATTTATCCATAAACATAGTTGTTGTTAGATTACAAATGATATGCTTAGTGCTAATGACCTCCTAATGAGGCCTTAAACATTTGAACAAATTTTCGGGTGCTACAGGAGTCGGTTATACTCATACTAAACTTCTGCACGTTGTGTGCAAATTTTAGAGCTGAGCTATTGTGGAGTTCAAGAGCTAGTATTGAAGATATATTAGCATTTCAGTTATCAGCTGCCATTTGTTCATGGTATACTAGGATCTTGTGTGTGTGTGTGTATATATATATATATATATATATATATATATTCAAAGAGATAGCGTATTTTATCAAATTAGTGTTGAATTGCTATTCTTAGTTGCTCATGATTTATGCCACAAGTTCTTGGGGTAGTTTGTATTAAACTTCACATTCTTATTTTATTATTTATTAAATGATCTTCAGTTTGGGTTGTGTTTTATGTTGGTTGGTTCACCTAGTAGGTGGGTTTGGTTCTATCACTACTTAATAAAATTTGGGTCGTGACGGTCAAGGAAAATTAGATATCGCATAAAATAGGATGAGGAGAATTTCTATTCCTTGAAGTTGGAGGAAATATCTGATTTTTAAAGTAATGTTAGAGGAAAACTATGATTTTCACCCATTAGTCTGAGATAAAGCGAATATATTTCTGCATTTTGGTGAAGTATTATTTTTCGAAAAATATATAATAATTAACTTGATTTAGTCAATTGACCTACATATGAACAATTAGCCATATAAAAGAGACTACAAAAATATGAAGAGAATAATTCTCCCTCCTAAATAATACTCTCTTAAGGATTACATTCTGAATTTGTTACGTGGGACTACAGTTTTAGGAATGCATAGGTGTGTCATGAGAAAATTTTAGCCCTTATTTTTTTTATTTGGAAAAAGAAAATAAATAGTCAAAAAAAAAGTAAGTGAACTATGAATTATGAGTCACCAGTCCATAATTTCCATTCCTGATTACATCAATTAGAAGACTCCCAAGAACATTGATCCTTCCCTTTGTAGACGATAACTAAGAAAATACTATATCAGAAAGGCAAATTCCATAAAACAAAGATAATATTACATGCACAACCCTTATATAATAAAATTGCAGTTTATTATGTCGACAAGATGGGTTGCTCTGATGGTAAGCACCCTCCACTTCCAACCAAGAGATTGTGAGTTCGAGTCACCCCAAGAGTAAGGTGGGGAGTTCTTGGAGGGAAGGATGCCGATGGTCATTTGGAAACAGCCTCTCTATTCCAGGGTAGGGGTAAGGTCTACGTACACACTACCCTCCCCAGACTCCACTAGTATCTCAGGGTAGGGGTAAGGTCTGCGTACACACTACCCTCCCCAGACCCCACTAGTGGGATTATACTGGATTGTTGTTGTTGTTGCGGTAGTACATGAGGAGTACAACTGTACAAGTAATTATAAGGAAAAATAAAGAAACCAAAAGAGAAAGTACTCAACGACTTATCTTTATTATACTTAACACACTAGGTGAAAACCAAATCGTATCAGTTAGAGAGTTAGGGTCAAATAATTACTCATATGGTGAAGCAATTAAGTATAAGTTGTTTTTCCTTACAACATTAGCACCAAATTTCTCAGTCATATCTAATTCCTCTGAATTCATACCATTAGGAAGTTTCCAGTCAAAATGGTACAGTAATCTAGCTAGAGTTAGCTCAAGGGTTGCTGTACCAAATGATATTCCTGGACAAACTCTTTTTCCAAATCCAAATCCCAAGAACTCAAAAGGAATTGATTCTTTGATATCATCAACAAGAATATTGAACCTCTCGGGCTCAAATTTCTCTGGATCATGCCAATAGTGAGGATCCCTTCCCATTGCCCACATATTCACTAGGGCTATAGTTTTATTAGGTATGATGTACCCATTAACCTCACATTGCTCTATTGATTCCCTAGGTAAAGACAATGGACCAGGAGGATGAAGCCTTAGAGTTTCCTTGACAACTAATTTCAAGTACTTCAGATTCTGAATATCATATTGATCAACTATTTTTCTTCCTTTCAAGATCTCTCTGACTTCAGCTTGCATGTTTTTCATGATAGTTGGATTCTTCATTATTTCAGACATGGCCCATTCAAGTGTAGTTGCTGATGTCACAGTTCCGGCAGCGAACATGTCCTGTTGGTGCCCAATTGATAGGCAATTTTAGGGTTCATTTGTAGTCAAAAATAAATAATAAGTACTTTTTTAAGAAGAAGAAAAGGGGGAAGAGATTGACATGAAGATCTAGGTATTATTACTTACCAAGACTATAGCTTTGATGTTATCTCTTGTTAAAGGGATCTTAAAGTTGTGGCTCTCCTTGTCTTTAAGCCTTAAAAGAAGGTGCAAAATATCTTCTTGATCAAGGGGCTCATTGTTATTTCTTTCTACGCTAGCTTCGTGTTCACGAAAATTTTCTTCAAGAAGGAGATCACATTCTTGATGGATTTCACTACTAAAAAACAACTGTTTACCGGCGCAACAGTACCGACATACATTTTTCCGTCGCTATTCCGAGGGAGTTTCCGTCGGAGTCCCTCGGTACTTTTGAACTTTTTAATTTCTAATTTTTTTTAAAAAGTACCGACGGACAACTCTGGATAAATAATGATACTTTGACCGGTCAAAATTTAGTTGGTTGTACCGATGCATTCCGTCGATAAATTACCGGNATTACCGACGGACTCTCTCGCAACATTTTGTATTTATATTTTTGAATTATTTTTTTAGGTACCGACGGTGTCTCTCGATGTATTTAAAAAAATCAATGAAAAAGAAAATAAAGTTATCGACGGACTCAATCGCTGTTGCATTTATATAATATTTTGAATTATGTTCTTACGGTACCGATGGACTTCCGTCGGTAATTTAAATATATAATCTTATACATTATTATTTTGTATTTTTTATTATACAATAGCGAGGAAGGCCGTCGGTAAGTCCCTCGGTAAGTATTTACTTAATTATCTTAGTGGTTGATTAGCCTATTTATTAAAAATTACACTAAGTGTAACTGTATTCATGGTAATCACACTACTTAAAAAGATATTAGTGGTAATCAGCTTAGTAATTTGTAATTACATAAAGTAAAAGTGAATTTGCAGTGTCCTTAACTATATTGATTAACCTATACATTAATAATTACACACTAAGAAGAAGTGTATTAGTCGTTTTCGTAAG